CATCTGACAGCTTCACCCCCACCTACAACAGAAGTGGCACAAGATATTTATCTTTTCACGCTATAATGATCAAAGAAGACACGGAAAAATACTGCCAATGAGGACCCGGATAGCGCTTAAACTCACAGCTTTTCCATTTTGAAGGATAATATTTGTTACATTTGCTTTATAAAGTATCTCACTCCCCTGATTAACCAACCCCTTTGCTAATGCCTTTGCAATTTCTCCAACTCCACCTACAGGGTAGTTGATTCCCCCGAAATGTCTGTCACACAAAACCTACAATAAAGAATGTGTAAGAAAATAGTATAAGGAAAAAAATGAAAATGAAAGGAAAGCTAATAAACTAGATTACCATGCCTGCATTGATCATTGGTGTCTGCATGGAATTCACTGTACTCACAATGAAACACTGCCAATAAAACCAACAAAATTGATTTTGAAAGTTGAATAAGGGAAGTCATGGGTGCCCAAGTCCAAAAACTTTGACATATAATTAACTGTTTAATAGCCCACCTCTGCGTCAATGAAGGATAGCAACTGAGGATCCTTTATATAATTTCGAGCTATGTCACCCACATTCTGCGGCAAATAGTAGGCTGAGATGAAAATCAAAAGCATCCGTCAAAATAAAGATATAATCAAGCTGCAGTATATGGTACAAAGAGTCAACAATGTCATAGCATTAACAGAAGTGGAATCGAAATAAAGGATATTCAACTTGTTAAGAGTATACCATCTGCGGATTGGGATTAGTTTACAATGTTTAAGTATCATCCTATAAGGTTGAAACTTACTTCCCTGATGCCTAAAACGTAAAATCTATCATATGCTTGAATTATGGAAACTTTCTAAGTTTATAGTGCTCAGTACCAGTATATCCAACAGTATTGGTTAGGTGTACTTTTATATAGTAATGCATGACTGTATTTTTCTTTGATAAGTATTTACTTGCACCTGGGGGGGTGAACCCCTGTACAAAACCAGGTCGTATCTCTATCTACACAAGCAAAATCACTACAAAGTAGTCCTGGGATTAGACTCCCAATAGCATAAAATTTAGGTAATTAGATATTTTACTTAATACATGTTTTGTTTTATTCCAAGCTTGTTTTGCTGCTTTAGATATACAATATCAAGTTATAATGGACTCACCTTCATTAAATTCACAAGACCCTTTTTATCAGGGAAAAAAGATAAACTAAATGGAAATTTATAAAGAAAAAGACAAAAGGAAAACCAGAAATTGACACTCAGTGGACCTTTTTGATCTGGTAAAAGCTATTGTAGATCAGGGATAAACAAAGTAAAAGAAAAGAAAGTCATCATTATCATTGCATGATGCTTCACATTATGATCTTTTAAGTCACTAGAAATATAGAACACAGGCGGCTAATAATTACCAAGGGTCAAGCATTCCAGGGGCTTCTTAAAAAACTGTCCAAAAAGGTAGATTGGCTCCTCCAGGGATTTCAGTTCCAGCGAGTTCAAGGCATTGAAGATCTATCCTAGACATGGTCAAGTTATCAATGAGTTCAATTCTATCGAGGTAAAGATTCAAGAGGAAGCTGCAATCACCTCAATAAAAACAGACCTTCCAGCACACTCCATAGAATCCAAGAATCCCTTGTTTTTCATGGGGAAATTTGCTGACAAGTTCATCAACAAAATCACTATATTCTCTGTGGACTAGGACCGAGAGGCCATTTGGTAGATGGTAGTGAACCGTTGTTGGATCAGGTATAACTTGCATCCTACATCCAACTGCTGCCAACGCTTGAGTAATCAAATTTAGATTTCCCTGAAGTTACATAACAGTTTCAGATCTAAAGATTGAGAGCACATCTCAAAGTAAATATAATGACACTGCTGTTTATGATTTTGTATTAAGCTAAAACCAGATATGCTAATTATTCCCTTCATGAGAATACTGCATGCCAGAGGAATACTATGCACAGATGAGTCTTCAAAGTTCAAAGTGTGGCAGAACACACAGATACTCCAACAGTTTCACATTTTTTTAAATATTTAATATTCATTTATAAGCCTTCCAACATATTCAACATCTCCATCATCTCAAAAAGCACGAAAGTAAAAATATCTTAAAGACTTATGTAAGAGCGACCACCAGCGGAATCATAGAATACTAAAGTTACTATTGCATTCTTTAGTTTCCATAACCAATAAGAGGTATCTAATAATGATTTCAAGAGAGTATCCAAATAACACGGTCATTTTATTTATTTATTTTTTTTCATTCAGTGGTATGTATTGTTCTAATAGATCAAATAATATTCCATTTACACAAACTAGTTTCTGCTTGGTATAAAACTAATTTGGCCAGGGAAAAAACTGCATTTCATTCCTCTCTTACTCTTAAAACACATCATCTAAAAACTTAAGCTATTAGAGAGGGAATACATTTCTCTATTTAAATTTGCCCTCAATATGCCCCCTCACAAGTAGCGCGGTCTCATTTTCTATCAAAAGCGCTGAAGGTTCACAATTGTCATAAATGAATCAATACATTTGAGCGCTTGGATACTGCATTACACTGCCTCATTCAAAAGTTTAAGCTATAAGAGAAAAAACACATTTATTTAATTTACTCTTCAACAAGTACTTATACACCATATAGAGACGTGTATATAAGCTATGTATATAACCAACTAACCTTATCGCTGGAACCGAACATAACAGATGAACCAACATCAAATTTGAATCCGTCCCTCTCGAAAAACCCTGAACTCCCTCCAGGAATCACATACTTCTCCAGAACTAAAACTTTGGCTCCCTTAACTGCCAGCTGTGTCGCTGCCACCAGCCCTCCCATCCCGGAACCAATGACAATGGCATCATAGTGATTAGTATTACTGTCGCCTCCTATAAAACTATTATCACTCTCCGTTACTTTATCTACATCCACCACTGATTTTAACCTAAAAAGGTCTCTTTTTCTTTGTTTAGCCCTGTAGAAAGCATAGTCCAAGCCTTCAAGCTGGTGATTACTAAATTTCTGTGTCTTTAAGGGATCAAAACAGAAAATTCCATCTTTTCTACACTTGAGTTTTTGATTGCCTGCAGGTGCAATCTTGCAGTTACTGAATAACTGAGAACTACAGAGCCCAAAATTCAGAACATCCATTTTGCAATTATCAGTAACAGGTATAATCGGTGGCTAACAAGCAAGCTTTCGGAATTTACACGGCCGGGATTACAAAGAAAGTGTGCATTCAAAAAACTCAATTCTGGTTTCTTGAAAGACTGCTGTTTTAGAGAATATAGAAAGTGAGTATTCAAGAACCCCAATCCTGGTGTGCTGAGCCTATTGAAACACAGCTGCTATGGAGGGTAAAGAGCTACAGAAAAGGGTTCTTGGTGTTGGGTTCAAGACCACGCACCAGAGTAGATGTGTTGGGAAGAGGATGGGGCACTGAGTGTGGGTGAGAGAGGATCAACTTTGGTAGGTATTTGGTATATTGAGCTTTGGATTATTGGGAGAGAAATAGTGCGGCAAATGGATTAGCATCATTCTAGTCCATGATACCTTCTGAGATGAGACAAAAAATTAGAGGAAATTTGCATAATGTTCATTTTCAGCGAGTCATTTGTAAAAATATTCACAATTTTATTCATGTCCATTTTTTAATTATGTAGACGAAAATACCCCTATTAGAAAATATTATTTCCACACAAGAATTCAAGATTTTTCATATCATTATTCATGTCAATCAACGTAGAAATGTCAATCAGCATTAAATGCTTGAGTCGCGTAGGTGTGGATCGGGTTATGGGTCGAGTAGGTGCGGGTCGAGTTGGATCGGGTTACGAGTAAAAAATAGAAACCTGATAGAACCCGACCCGAATACAAAAAAAAAAATTGAAGGCGGGGGAATGAAAAAATAAAAAAAGCCCTAAACTAAGTCCTCTCAACTCTCACTTTCAGTCTCTCAATCTTCACTCCGACCCAACCCGCCGACAACGAGCCTGTCCATTTCTCTCTTATTTTCCCAGTTGCCGTTTGACCACCACACTTCAGAATCCAGTGCTATAGAGTAAGTTTATTTCATTCTTTTTTTCTTTATTTCGTTATTTTTTTCACTTCCCCAAGTCTCCCCTCTTCCTAAATCCTAAGATTTAGCTAGTTTAACATAAATTGATGTCAAGGTCACTGAGTGTGCCGATTCTATTGGGCGAGCAAATACCAACTGTTGATACAATTTGAGATAAAAAGTGGTACATGTGAAATACTGTCGAAAAGGTTGAAAAGGTAAAGTGTTTAAAGAAATCGGGAAAATGATTGTACTTTCTGTTGTCCCTGTTATTGTATCTTTTGTTTTGAGATATAATCTATATGTCAACTAAATTTGATGCTGCTAGATGATAAATAACACTAGTACGAAGTGAAAAATACTCCATTTGAGGCATATTTCGCATCTAAGTTAGGCAATAAACATGATGAAATGACACAGGTTGTGTTGCTATTATATACTCTTAGAGTGTTTGAATGCTCATCAGCAACTAAATGACTTTATTTTCGCATCAAATTTGTTCTGCATCTTGTTGAGGGTTGCATTTGTATATTGATGGTTTCTTATGAAAGAAGACTGTGATAGGTTGATAGCAAATAGAAAACTTTGTCAAATCTTATGACATGTATACTTGATTTTGCGTATGATCTATTGTAGTTGGCTCTAAATTTATTTAATACAAGGCTATGTTGTTGTTATTTATTTTGTTAAAGAATATTGCATTTTTGGTTTATTTACATATCTAAATTAGGCAATTAACTTAATGAAATTGTAGAAGATTGTGTGTGTACTTTTGAACTGTTTGAATGGTGATCAACTATAAAATGGTTACATGATAGCTTCAGATCAGAAGCCAGGTTTGTTTTAATTT